CTTTTTAATGGATTTCTTGCAATGCAAATGCAACATGCAGTTCTGATACTTACTTTTGAGATGATTCACATTCCTGGAATTTGCCATTCAGAAGAATCAGATCAGGCTGAGAGTTTTAGTTGCACGTAGAGCTTAATAAGTATTTATTATTGGAATGTGTATTGTAAGGTGTACTTTATAAAGAAAAGTGGTATTTCTAAAATATATTGCTGCATTCTGATATACATGAGGTATATATTATATACTAATAAATATGAGATACTGCAGTAAATTTTCAATGATTGTGTTTTATGTACTGAATAAAATTTCTTCACATTTAGTTGGCATGAACAGTAGGGGGTCAAAGTTTATAGTTTCATCAAAAGTCTTTCCAAGTTTAGAAAGTTTTGGGGGTATGCTCAAGTTATGTGGTTGGAATCTATTTCATTGCAGAACTCAACTGCCAACAACAAATCTGACACCTTTGGATCTGAGTGTCTTAGTTCGTTGTCTAATCAGATTATTGTGGAAATAACATACCTGTCTACCTGCTTCCCTTCTTCTACTGGAAAGAACTGTCTAGAACTGGTGCTTCCAGTTATGTGATGCCAGGAATGACAGCAACAGAAGGTATACCTAGAATCATAGAATCACAAGATGGTTTGGGTTGGAAGTGACATCTTAAAGATTTTTGCCTCTGTCACATCCCACTCAGATGAGGGAGCAAGTGAGTCAGATTTGTAAACCCCCTACGGAATGGACAATGATGAGACAAGTCTCAAAGTGCAGACATTTATTAATTTCCCACAATGTACTAATTGGATACACGATAATTGGATAAGTATATAACCAGTTGTGGCAAGCAATACAGTATACCTTGCATTGCTTAATGGAAGAGAAGGAAAAGGGGAAAAAGGAAAGGAGGGAAATAAAGAGAATAGAGAAGTAGAGATCACAACTCTGAGTTCCTGTGTCTATCCCACCAGCCAGGGTTCAAGGAGGCATCTGTCTTCTTTGCTTCACTTTAATCTCTGGAACCAGTCCCGCCTTGCCCCCACCC